TTGAAGAGAAGATTGACTTTGTTAGTTAACTGGGTGTTTCTAATCAAAGACCTTAAAAATGAGTTATAGCCAATGAAAAATTATTCTCTCTCTCTCTCTCTCTCTCTCTCTCTCTCTCTCTCTCTCTCTCTGTCTCTCTCTTTCTGTGTGTGTGTGTGTGTGTGTGTGTGTGTGTGTGTGTGTGTGTGTGTGTCTTCCTTGGACACCCACATCAGTTCTGGCTGAGTTATTGCATTGTTGCTGATCAAAAATTGGCCTCATAAAAGTTGATCATCTAAGCATTACTGAGCTGTCTTTTCCAAGTTCATTATTGATCCAGGCTCTCTCTTGATGCTGCAGGGTTCATAAACATGTGGTATGCTGGGTAATCACTCTGCTTTCTACCTTCATGGTTCACTCTGGCAGCTGTCATGTTCCCCCTGTTACATGCTACTGCATCTATCAAATGTGGTCAATTATGCCACTGGGTTTGACCTTTATGTTAGCTTACATCCTAACCTACAAATAAATGAGGGCCTAGATCAGCACCTGACTTAGAATGGAGTCAGTTTTGCCATAGCTCCCCTCTTGCTTTGTGCCCTCAGTGACTAGAACCTCTCAGGAGAAGGGTAGTCATGGAGTCTTCATCAAGGTTAAGGGCATAAATTAAAGTTCAGGCTCCATTTCATAAAGGTTAGCCTGTAAACTACCAACCTTCTATTGCTTCTTCACAGTAGGGTAATTGCTGCTATTTCTGGGGAATGGCCTTCCAAGCTAGATCTCTGATGGGGAATGGTTGTTTTAAAACCTCTGTGGGCACAGGAGAGCCACACAGCATTCGAGTTTAATTTAGCACCTCTGGCCTGAAAAGGGTAGAGATGTGGATTAATGTCACATCTCTGTACTTCCTGTGTCTTCCCACTGACCACTAAGCAGCCTTTCCTCAACTTGGGAACAGACTGAAATGTACAGTGTGATTGCCATAGAGAAGAAAAAGGAGTAGGCCCCATCATGTCAGCAGTATAGGCTCAAGGAGCCCCGGCCACAGACTGGCACAGCAATAACCATCCGAATGAAAAGGCCTGCTTGTTGCTCACTGCCTTCTATGTATGTTTTCAGATCTAAAGGAATGGGCTCCTTTAGGAGAAAACTCAGATACCCAGGTTCCCTTTTGAGAATCTTGCCAATAAGTCTTTAGTGTCCTGCTTCCCAAATGATGGAGTCCAGTCGCTTCATAATTGGACTGTCATCTTTCCCCCCTGGACTGCTTGCCCTTCTACATATCCCACGTAGGAAGTGGGTCAGGGACATGTCCTCTTCTACATATCCCACATAGGAAGTGGGTCAGGGACATGTCCTCCTCTACATATCCCAGGTAGGAAGTGGGTCAGGGACATGTCCTCCTCTACATATCCCAGGTAGGAAGTAGGTCAGGGACATGTCCTCCTCCTCCTCCTCCGCTAGCCAAGCCACTTATGTTTGTTGAAGTATACCAATGGGCAACTGTTAAAGTGTCTTGTTCAGTCCTGCGTCCTTGACACCTTTTGTATCAGACTTACAGGTGTGTGTGTGTGTGACTAACGTGTGGTTGTAGTTGGATGTATTTTAATATGGCTTCTATTGGTCTCATGTCCAATCTCAGATACTTGAAGCTTAACCTTACTGCTGTGAAATGGCCTTTGTCTCTCTGACCCTGCATGGGAGCATCTTCTCCTGACTCTGTCCTATGTAGTATGGTGCGTAGTATGGTGCACCATCATTATCTGGGCACTCATTCATTGGAGGAATCAAGTCTTTAGAGTCAAAAGAAATGAAGTTTCAGTTTATTTCTTCCATGTTACTATTGAATATTATTATTCTTCTCTTATCTAAAGTCTTATCCCTCAGAAAAACCGAGTCAAAATATGTACTTACTTGATGTTTTTTTTTGAAGGTGAAATTAACTAGTATATAGATGCTAGATGAATATAGACAGCAATTCCCCCCACCATCTTGTTTCCTTCTGCCTTTTCATCCTTTTTCCTTACTTCTAAAAGTCTGCTGAGGGATAGATCCTGTCCTAAAGAGTGAAAACAGAACTCTCAAAGAATTTACAGCCTAGCATTAGAGACAGGCACAAATCAGCAAGTTTAATCTGCAGAGATCATAAAGGAGGCAACAGTGATGAGCAGAGCACAGTTTCCCCACCTTTGGGGAGATGGGTTCACCTTCCACAGGTGAAGAGTGGAATGCTCTGCTCTGGGTTTGTAGCTGTTGTAATAAAATGTCCACTCACTACATGTAAGGATTGCATAAGAGACTGTCGATTTCTCACTCTCAGGAAATGTCCTCTGACCATGAATAGCTGCATGTATGCCTTCTATCTGTCACAATTACTGTATTCCTGAGGGCCTTGGTCAGTGAAGAAGCTTCACTGTGCTCCTCAGGCCAAAAACAGTGCCTTTGCTTACCCCTGAAGTCATGTTCTCTACCAGTGGAATCTTGTAGTCTTGGGATACACAAATGGAGAACCCCATAGGGATGTGGATATCAAATCCCCTTCTAAATATCTTTGTGTTCTGGCTCTTCAGAGACAGAATTAAGAGCAAAATAAGTCGTCTCTGGTATTCCTTTACATAAGAAAGGCAGCTAAGATCCAATAGGATCAAAACATAAGCTTCCTTCAACATGGGCAGCAGAAAGCGAACTGAAAATTTGTCTTCCATGCAAAGCTAATGTGAAAATGGAGGAGAATCTATTTCTTGTTTGCTTCTCAGCAATAGTTTATTCCCAGGCTCAGCTAGAGAATTGCTTCACTCCTTAATGTTATCACTTTACAGATAAAGTGGGTAGCAGTGGTTAAGATGCATTGAATAGAGGTCATAGGTCATTTAGTAAGTCACTGTGTTTGGATAGATTCCCTTCAAATCCAAAGCTGAAAGGAGCCTGGCCTTCCTTCCAGCTTCTTCCTTTGCCTAGTATTTTCTGCATACTTGAACTCCCTCCCAGCTAAGGGGCACCTGTACCTCATTTCCCCAGGCAGCACACAGAGGATGATGTAATCCGCAGATGTGATTAGTGTCTTAATTTCCCTGAGAGGGGAAGTCCTTGCTGCGCTTTGAAGGAAAGATCTGCCTCTTGTGGAAAGATTGTTATGATTATTTGTGATTAATAGCATACTTCACGAGCAAGATTGTAGGCTGAAAGAAAGCAAGCCTGACGCACTGAGGAAAGTCAGGCTGGGCTGGATGTGGGCCTGCTAAATTGTAATGATTTCCCCTGAACACTTTCACACAAGGCACAGTACGCAGTTGGCTCTGAAGGCACAATGGTGAAGGAGGTGGAGCAAGAATTATCATCTCAAATTGTAGGTGGCAAGTGAAACCTCAGAAATGAGGTGCTTTGCCCACAGTCCAACATTCATGTGGTGCATAAATTCTCAAGATTACCTTTCTCACTTTGAATGTGCCTCTTTAAAAGAAAATTCTGTTACTTTCTCAGCTAAACAGAGTAACTGTGTACCTAACCCACATGGATAGATTACTCAACTTAAGTTTTACAAGAAAACAATCAAATAATCTAAATTCAGCTATGGGTTTTTCTTCATATATTTGCCCTGTTCCAAATCATTGTGTTTATAGAATTAACTTAGATGGAGAATGCACACTTAAGGGACGTGTATAAACCAGTGATGGTGTGCTAGTATTCAGTATTTGCTTTACTTAGCTCTACGTTAACAGCATTCCAGGTATCTGATACAGCTCTGTCATAGAGGAGGTAGCCACTGAAACACTCCTGTCTTTGTGGAAAACACCACAAATCCACTTGGTTCATATCTAAATAGAGAGACAGAGTCATCAATTTCATCAAGTTATGTGTCCAACTTATGTAAGAAGAATATGAAGAAGGGAAACTGGTCTCCTCTATCAAAGCGACTATGTTTAAAATATTTATTTAAGCCGGGCAGTGGTGGCGCACACCTTTAATCCCGGCACTTGGGAGGCAGAGGCAGGCGGATCTTTGTGAGTTTGAGGCCAGCCTAGTCTACAGAGTGAGATCCAGGAAAGGTGCAAAGCTACACAGAGAAACCCTGCCTTGAAAAAAAATGAAAAATATTTATTTAAAATATAGTGCAGTTCTTATGAATCAATAAATTCAAAAAGTGCAAGCTTGTCATAACTGGGGATACCAGTGGTAAAGATGCCCCTTGGAACATGAGCTGTTTCCCAGGAAACAAAAAATGACCTGAGGTGTGTAGATGCAGTACATCACACAGAGCGGAGACACAAATGATGTGAGTTGCGTAGCTGCGGTGCATCACATGCATAAAAAGCAGATCTAAGGATCTGGTTGTCAGAAGTGTGTTGCCATGGGGGAAGGGCAGGTTATCAGTAGTGGTGACAGACTTTTAGTTTATGAACACATTCTGGAAGATGTTGGTGACATGAGGATGAGGGTACCTGCTGGGTGGTGGTGGTGCACGTCTTTAATCCCAGCACTTGGAGAGCAAAGGTAGGCAGTTCTCTGAGTTAGAGGCCTGCATGGTCTACAGAGTGAGTTGCAGTCAGGGCTACACAGAGAAACCCTGCTATCTAAAAAAAAAAAAAAAAAAAAAAAAAAAAAGACCGAGAGCACTGCAGTGACACACACCTAAGTCCACAAGTTTTTCTGTTATATGAATGTTGACATAAGAACAGACAATTTCTGATGTGATAGCCTTTCTTTAAAATATTAGTTTTTTTATTGCGTGAATAAAGAAGACATGTATCTAGCAAAATGTCACAGTTTATGCTCAATTATTGGTTAATATTATATAGTACTTTATTATTTCAAAGATACTATATTAACTAAGGAATTAACAGAATTTAACCTTGACCTTATTGGGAGAAGATGGATTCTGTGTATAACTGAAATCTGATCCAAATAGTGAGACTGTCGTAGCCTCTCAATGCTCTGATGACTGTACCTCTGGCTGCTTCTCTAAGCTGGTTAATGTGATGATCTGGTAATCAAACCTGTAGTGACACCCATGCTATCTTCAGGATAGGGTGTGGGCGAACGTGGGGAAGAGCCTGAACTGCATTATCGCTACAGTGGACAAACTGATTGAGAGAGACACTCACAAAGAAGAAGGTACCGGATGCAGCAGTAGCAACGACGGAGACGTGGCTCCTTCCCTAGAGGATTCTATCACATCTCACCCAAAGGGTAAGAAGTCATTTTTCACCAATCATTGGTTAAGTAAAGAAAATGAGAAACCCATGGTAAAATGAGATAGAGAGGAGTCAATTGTGCCTTTGATGAAGAGCTCATGACAGACTGTACAGTGTTCTGCTGTGGACTATGGGAGGCTATTTGTCAAGTTGCAGTGGGTGTGATTTCAGGGTTGCTTGCCATGTTCTTTTTTTTTTTTTTTAACTACATAAAGCTTCCTGGAAGTGCATTCTTTATAGCAGTGGTTCTCAAGCTGGGGGGCAAAACCCCCAAAGACCATCAGAAAACACAGATATTTACATTATGATTCATAACAATAGCAAATTTACAGTTACAATGTAGCAACAAAAATAATTATATGGTTGGGGATCGCCACAGAACTGTATTTCAGGGTGCAGCATTAGGAAGGTTGAGAACCACTGCTTTAGAGTGTGCTACTGCCTCACCTACTTTTACAAGTTTCCCAACTGATAGCTGAGAGAGAATCAATCATGTGCTTTTAAATTCTTGGATACTTCAGAACTTGGTATCTCTTACTGTTCCTGAACAGACTGCAGCACGATACAAAACTTTTACATTATTCTGAGGACATTTTGTCAGTTATTCTAAGACTTATAAGAAGATTTGATTCTGTGCATTATTCTGTTATCATATCTCAGTGCTATATTTTCATGCAGGCAGGTACACAAAGACACACATATGCATATGCATACTCATGGAACTGTATATGTGTATGAACAGAGGATTGTATAGACAGAACTAAGAGAAAAGAATAGAAATTGACAACTAAATAGATAGTAGATAGATGTATAGATAAGATAGTAGATGGATGTATAGATAGATCATAGATAGATGGCAGGTGACTGCGTCCAAATGTTCGCCATATTGATACCTTGATTAGCAAGCATAATGAAAATTTTAACAATACTATGTCACTATCAATAGTTTTGCTATTGTTGTTGTGAATCCACTAATGTTAACAAGAACAAAACAATATCGCATGTATTTATTGACATCAGTAGTTCAGTCATAATTGAACTAGTATTTTGCTGGAAATCTTGTGTTTAGAGGGAATTAAAAGGCATTTCTCTAACACTGACTTCTAAAATCCATTCTTTATTGTTTTTAAGAAAAGCAGTCATAACAAAGTATGGATGGACTTTTATAAAATTAATGTTTTTCCCAATTTTTTCTCTTGATGTCCCATTGCTTATATTTCATCATGAGTTTAATATGTATATGCATATATCAGTGATTATATGCATATATAAAATATATCAACAATAATTAATGTGAAGAGAGGCCACCAATTTGAAACAGAGCACAAAGGGGTATATGGGAAGCTTTGGAAAGAAGAAAAGGGAAGAGATAATGATGTAATTATAATCTCAAAAAAATAAGAGAAATAATTTTGAAATTTCATGTTTCCTCACATGATTGATGATAGACTCTTTCCTAAATTCTATTTGGAAATACTAGAATTCTAGAGTTGTCTCCTGTCGATGGCCCATCTTCCATCAGTGAGCAGTCAGTGTTCTTCGTGCTCACACTGGGTTTTTATCCCTGTCTGTACAAGTTTTCTTAATAAGAGTATGCTAATTTTTAAAATTAATGAATCTAGTAAGTCTCAAATTTCACATGAATCAAAATGGAAACTTGTTATAATTATGTGTTTTAAAAAAAAAGTACTGTTCAACTTTCTTCAGTTGGACCTGCATTGGCTAACAAGTATGGGCTAGAGTCCGTTGTGTTCTAGACAACAGGCTTGGTTAGTAGAACCCAAGGATCACAGATAGAGACAGAATGCATCAGGCTGTTCCTTGGGGGATTTTCACTGCATATTAATTAGAGCAGAAACAAAGGGTATCTGATTTTGTTACCTTTTGAAACCCCTCAAATAGCCCAGCAATGAAAATAAAGTTCTGAAATATTGGAAATGACACAACTTTTTCACAACTTGTATCTAACCAGAGCAATGCTCCTGGATTAAAGTTACACTTTTCAAAAGTAAAATGGGGCTGGAGAGATGGTTCAATGGTTAAGAGCACTGGCTGCTCTTCCAGAGAACCTGGCTTCAGTTTTCAGTACCCACATGGCAGCTCACAACCATGATTCTATTTCCAGGGGAGGACACCTTCTTCTGGCCTCCAACAGCACCCAGGCATGTAAACATGCATGAAGGCAAAATGCTTATACATATAAAATTAAAAATAAAAGTTTAAAAGTTACAGTACATTAACAATCTGATCCCCCCATGAATTATTGTAGTCAAACTGTGATATAGTGTGCACTCACTAACCAATTTTTATATTTTTTCTTATTTTCACTTTATTATATAGATATTTCTTTCATTTTATATTATTTTTGTGTTATAAAATTCCCTAGATGTTACAATCTAAAGTATAATGTGAAGTTGTTTAATATAGAATATTATCTCAATAATTTCAAAGTTAAATATTTTGTTAACATTTTACCTTCTGGTCAACAGCACACAGGGAGTATGTTTTAAGTAAGCCATTGATATGAAAAAATAATGTAATTTTCTTATGTAAATGAGTCTTGAAAGTAATTCTGTCTTTAAGAATACTTAAATAAATTTCAGATGATACTGCTTAGCTAGAATGACATTAATTAGTTAAGTCAGTTGATTAATTAAAAATCTCTTTACCTTTCATCAGTTTATAGCCTTCCTCATTGATGGAGGCAGATCACCCTTTCAGTTTCTGTCCTGACTAGTGTCACACAAAGCAATATGGGACAAAAACACATAATGCTCTTTGAACTGATAAAAAAAAACAATCAAGTAAAGTTATCTATTGGGTCCATGCTGTAGTGCAAGTTATTATCGATATGGATATTTGAGACGTGTGCTCATGTTTCCTAATTTATCTACATGTAAGAATCATATGAGCAAAGGCAATACATTACACGGTTTGCTTAAAAGCAGTAGATAGGATTGAAAATGCTTTTTATTTCAACTGATTATAAGCATTCTTATGTCTGTAAGCAGGCACATGCACACACTCACAAATGTACTTCAAATGAGCTGGAATACATATCATAAATAAAATGTATGTTTTTATGTCTCACATATCAGCATTCTCCCATAAATGTTTCGTGGAAATGAGATTCTAATAATTGTAAACTAATTTAGCAAAATGGAAACTGCTTTTTTAGATATTCATTTATTGTACTAATGCTATAATTAACACACAAGAGTCTTTGAATATTTAATTTGTTAATTCTGTGGATATTCTAATTTAAGTTAGACTGCTAAGAGAGGGAATATTTTATGATATTCCCCTGCCTTTTAGGCATATTTATCCAACTAATCATTTTTATCACCGTGGATTCATACATGCTTCTTTATTTTTGTTTTATAATCTAATATCATTACCATTTACTCTGGGCTCAAATCATTGTGATTTTAGCAACAGAAAGTGTTTTTGGTTCCTGGCCACAGCCCTACGTCCAGACAGTCTCCAAGGACTCTAGTCACTTTAATTGGATAACTGCACTTAGATCCAGCACCTGGTTTACAGAAGCATTTTCCTGTAACAATAGATCCTGAATCCACTGTGTTTACACACGTGCTCTCAAGAGCACACCTTTGCCTTTTTTATTCCATGCCACATTTGGTTTTCAAAAATTATATTTTGCTTACATGGGAAATTGAACAGCATAAAAATGCATTAATCGATACTATCTTCACAAAATAGTCTTAATAATGAGATCAGTTTATTCAATAGTCTCATATTATCCATATCTACTAGCTGTAAAGAAAAATGATATGTTTCTATTTCTTACAATGAACCCAGTGATTTCCAGCATCTAATGTTTATTGTATATCTGACATGACAAATACCGTCTGACATTTTTACAAAATCACTGTTAGGGCTTCTTAAAATGTTATGTTTTCATTTATTTATTTATTTATTTATTTATTTATTTATTTATTTATTTATTTATCTATCTGTGTTGTGTGAAGATGTGCCATGACATGCTGTGGAGGAGAGGAGTCAACCTACAAAGTGTTGGCTCCTTCCTTCCACTATGGATCCCGGAGTCAGACTCAGGTCACTGGGCTGTGGCAAGGGCTTGCAATCTCTGAGCCCACAGTACTGACCCTGGGAGTGATCCATTTCTTCATGCTGCACTGCTTCTCTTTGTTTCTATAAATTAAATTCTGCAAATATTTTTAAACTATTGCTGGGGTTTAATTATGTAACATGTTTAGATTGTTCTTCATGTTATGATATATTTTTAAATTTCACAGTGTAAATCAAACTCATGCTGAATTCCATTTTGTTGCCCCGTTCATTTTTTTATTCTAGCCTTAATTTATGTGCTTTGCTGATGTGTATGCACAACACTCTTCTGATAGCCTTCCAAGATGCCAGCACACTCATCCTTTTCCTGTGTTCCTCTTCAGTCTGTACACGCTTCTTCCTCTGAGTTGTCAGTTTCTTCTCCTAACAGGGTATTAGCATGGTAGTGCTGTTTTGCATTTGCACTGTGTGGGTTTTGGGTGGAATCATCTGCTTCAGAATGGGGGCTTTAAGATAGATCTGTGACTTGCTTTATAGAGTTTTTCATCATGAATATAAATAGTACTAAAAGAAGTCTCACTTTCTCTACGGTTTAGATTTAAATACTGAAATAGATTTTCCAGATGTCTGTATTTATGTGTGTGTATGTATGTGTATATGTGTGTATACATGTATACATGTGTAATATATGTTTATTATGTATATATGTGTGTACATTTGTGTGTGTATATTGAGTGTATGTATTGTGCATGTAAATGTGTGTTATGTATATATGTGTGTATATATTTGTATGTGTTCATATATCTATGTGTGAGTGGCTAATGAACACAGATTGCCCCTTTACTTTCAGTACACGTAAACACAATTATGGACATCTGCTCTCTGTGTAGCACCACATGCCTTCAATTTCATAATAAATTGAGGCTGCAAAGATTAAATCAGTGA